ATGGTAGTGTCTATGAATTATCCAGAATTTCCTTAATGTAATGGCTAATTTGATGTCCGCCTGGCAGGCAGACAGTGCTCAGAGATTTGGTTAAATTATTCTGAAAGTTTGTGGCAGGGCAGTTTCAGATGAAATTAACATTTAAATTGGTGGACTTGAACTAAAGCAAATTTGCCTCCAAAGTGTAGGTGGACCTATGAATAGAACAAAAGGCTGACCTCTCCTGAGCAAGAGGGAATTCTGCCAACAGATTCCTTCCGACTTTAAGTGTAACCTTGGCTTTTGTCAGGGCCTCCAGTCTGCTCATTCCCCTACAGAATTTTCACTTGCCAGTATTCCTAATCAGATGTCATTACATAAAATAAATATTCTGCACACATACACAAACACTTTCTCTTGACTCTGTTTCCCTTGATGATTATTTGTAATACATTGCTTTGAGTCAAAGAACCTAGAATTTGAGGGGGAAATGTCACTAACATTGTCAACAGTGTTAGAAAGTGCTACAGATTTTATCATTCCAATAAATAAACTTCTCTAAACCTTATTACATACATTTCAATTTTATAGTTCAAGTCATTACATTTCTATAAAAACATCAGTGTGTACATGACAATGAACAGTAGCATGCTGAGATGGGGATGCCTGTTAGAGGTGTTAATGAAGAGTGGTGTCTTTGAGTGACTCTCAGACTAAACCTTGGACCTTATAAAATATTTCTGAGTTTTAAATCCAAACATGATGAAATTATGAGACTTTATACCTAAAGTGACTTCCAAAATATTATAATCATTCCTATCACTACAACTATTTTTTTTTTTTTGACAGGCAGAGTGGACAGTGAGAAAGAAAAACAGAGAGAAAGGTCTTCCTTTGCCGTTGGTTCACCCTCCAATGGCCGCGTGCCCGACCGGGACTAGAACCCAGGGTGCCCATGCTGCAAGGCGGAGGATTAGCCTACTGAGCTGTGGCGCTGGCGTCAACTATCTTTTTAGCACACTTTTTTTTTTTATATAGTTTTATTTAAGGTAACAAATTCCATTCACTTTACATATATAGATTGAGGAATAAAGTGATACTTTCACCTTATCCTTCCTCCCACCCATGCTCCCACCTGTTTTCATCCTCCCTCTCCTAGTTCCAGTCTCATTTTTTAGAACAATTTACTTTAAGTTAACTTTATGCTCATAGAGAATTGAACAAATAGCATGGAAAAAATGTTCCTCAACAGTCGAGACAAGGGCTGTGAAAAATTATCACATCTCAAAGTGTCAATTTCACTCCTATAGATTATTTTAGGTACTCCATTATTTATCATAGATCAGGGAGAACATATGGTATTTGTCTTTTTAGGACTATATTATTTCACTAAGTGTAATGGTTTCAAGTTGCATACATTGTGTTGAAAATGACAGGATTGAATTTTCTTTTAGCACTGCATAGTATTACATATTGTATATATAGCATAATTTCTTTATCCAGCTTGCAAATATATTTCATAGTTTGCAAAAAATATTCTATTGGTTGCCTCTTGATTTTACTGAGTGTTCCTTTTGCAGTGCAGAAGCTTCTCAGGTTTATGTAATTCCATTTGTCAATTTTAGCTTTGATTACTGGTGCTTTTGCAGTCTTTTCCCAGAAGTCTTTGCCTATGCCAATGTCTTTCAGAGTTTCCCTAATGTTCTCTTTTATTTTGAGAATTATTTGGGTATTAGGTCATATATTTAGGTCTTTGAATCATTTTGAGTGGATGTAAGGTGTACATTAGGCAACTTTTTCATACTTCTGCACATGGAGATCCAGTTTCCCCAACACCATTTGTTGAGACTATCCTCACTCCAGAGGTTGACTTCAGCTACTTTCTCAATGATAAGTATATTGTTGATGTGCGGATTGATTCCTGGAGTTTTATTCTGTTCCATTGGTTTACATTTCTGTTTTTGGACTAATACCAGACTGCTTGGATGATAACTACCCTATAGTATATCTTGAAATCAAGCTTTCTGGTTTTGTTTTTGTTGTATAAGATTGAATTAGCTATTCGGCCTCTCTTGTGTTTGCAAATGACATTTTAGATTTTAGCATATTTTTTTCCAGCTATGAGAAGAATATCATTGGTATTTTGATCGGGTTCACATTGAATCTGTAAATTCTTTTGGTAGTATGGACATTTTGATGATATTTATTCTTCCAATCCATGAACATGCAACATTCTTCCATTTTTTTATGTGTCTTCTTCCATTACTTTATTTAATGTTTTATAATTTTCATTGTAGGGATTTTGGCATCCTTGATTAAACTTATTCCAAAGTATTTAATTTTTTTCTGTCACTATTATAAATGGGATTGATATTAGAAGTTTTTTCTTAGCCACAGCATTGTCTGTGTCTACAAAGGCTACTGATTTTTGTGTGTTAATTTTATATTCATTTGGTCCATAGTGTCAATTAGCTCCATTGTTTCTTTGTTGATTTTCTGTCTAGCTGGTCTGCCCATTGATGAAAGATGGTTGTTAAAGTCCCCCATTACTACTGTGTTGGAGTCTATGTCTCCCTTTAGATCCATTAATATTTCTTTTAAATAGCCAGGTGCCCTGTAATTGGGTACACATGCATTTATTACAGTCACATCTTCCTGTTGAGTTGATCCCTTCATCAATACATAGTGCATTTCTTTTCTCTTTGAACAGTGTTGCGTTAAAGTTTGTTTTGTCTGATATTAGGTTGGTTAAATCTGCTTTTCTTTTTTTTTGCTTTCCATTAGCATGGAATATCTTCTTCCATCCTTTCACTTTCAGTCTTCATGCATTCTTGTTGGTGAGGTGTTTTTGTATTGCCTACTCGTTTCAACATATTACATTGGTCTGCCTTATCGATGCTGAATGTGAGTTTGACTAAGACCTTGTGTCTATTAATACACACGCTGCACATACTGTGATTTTCAAGGAGTAAATAATTTCTTTTATCTCTATTACAATAAAAAATACCTTATTAAAGAAAGAAAGAAAAAACAAGGCACAAATTGGAAACAAAACTTGCAAGATACAAAAGTGAAAAGTGAATTCTTCCCATAATATGTAAAAAATCCTTAAAAAAAGAATATAAGGGTAGCATTTAGCCAAATGATAGAGGCACCTTCTTATTGGATTAACTGGATTTAATTACTTGCTATGCCTCCTAGTTCCATTCTCTGCTAATGCAAACAAACCTTCGGAAGCAGTTGTTATGGCTCAAGGAACTGTGATTTTGCAGCCCCAATGGGAGAACTGGATTGTTGGCCCAGATCCTGGCTTTGACCCAATCTAACCAGGCTCACCTTTAGTTGTTTCAGGCATTTGGAAAATTAACCAACAGATGAGAAATTCTCTATTTCTCTGTCTCTCATAAAGAAATATAAATTTTTTTAAAATTAAAGTAATGATCTAATTAAAAATAGACAAAGTATCTGAACAGACTACAAAAATGATGCATAAATGGCAAATCAGCATGTGAAAAGATGTTAAACATCACATATCATTAGGAAATTGTAAATCGAAGCAATAATAAGATACCACTATTTACTAGAATGGGCAATCTGTAGCATTGACAACCAATGCTAATGAGGCTGTGGATTGACAAGATCTCTCTTTCACTGCCTGTGTAAATGAAAAATAATATTGCCACTTTGGAGGACATTTTGTCATTTTCATACAAATCTAAAGATAGGCTTAGAATACAACTTAGCAATCAGAATCCTAGATATTTATTCAGTTTCTTTAAAAACATGTCACCTAAAAACTACATGAGAATTTTTTAATCTTTTACTCATGATTGTCAAAAATAAAAGCAATCATGATATCATTCAACAAGAAAATTATTTTGAAAGGAGCTGTAGTGAATCTATATAGTAATATATTATTTAGTAATATAAGGAAATGTGTTGTCACTTTATCCCATGGAGGGACTTAAATGCATATTGTTAAATAATGGAAGCCAATGGAAAAGATAATATACTCTATGGTTATAATTACATGAAAATCTAATAAAAATAAAACTCTAGGAATAGTAAAAGGATTAGTGTTTGCCAGGGACTCAGTTACAGGGTGGAGGACTGGACAGGAGGATTCCAGTAAAGTTTTGGGGCACAGGGTCTGGTTTTTTGACAACATAATGGAGGATACCTGTCTTTATGTTTTTGTCAAAAACCATAGGGTTTTATAGAACAAGGAATAATCCTTACTGAAATAATTCAAAAGAGGTAACTTGAGGAGATGGAGAACCCTAGAAGGAAATACAAAAAGTAATATGATAACCTAAAGTGTTTTACAGATACATTAAAGAAACTCAGTAAACAAGGTATATGTTGACAGAAGTCAAGCTTGTGACCAAAAGTAACTTTGGAAATGAATAGATGGCATAATACTAAATCAAGAGAAATGGCACATAAGAACGTTACTCTTGTTGCTTATTATGTAAGCAAGGGTTCTCAATTCTGATTCTCTATTAACTGTGATTAAAAGCAAATGAGACAAACCCCAATTTCGGAGCACCCTTTAAAACACCTAAACAGTGTTATTCAGAACTGCCCCAGTTGTCAAAAAGTAGAAGTCTGAGAAACTGTGACAGGTAACAGGAGCCCTAGGATAAATAAGTTTGATAAGCTCTGAAGAGAAAATATAGATGGAGCTAGATTTCCCAAGTATTTCTCTTTTTAGAATTTTTGGCTTGATTTTTTACAAAAAGTCAAACTTATACATTAATAAAAACAAAAACTAAACAATCACAAATTTTTCTACAAAATAAAAAATATCACAGAATTCAACATATGTATAAAGCATTATCACTAAGTATTCTACATCTCCTACAAGAATATTTTTATATCCTGGTCCCTTCAACAATAAGAGTGTCAAATGCTCAAACCCTTCAAGTCCTGCTGTGTATTGACCTTCCATTGTTCCTGCTACATTCTGAGCATAAGGTTCTCATTTCATGTTCCAAATTCCGGTTCAGTGTGATCTAAGCTGTAGATGCCATGATGTAACAGCAGAAAGCTGCCACTCAGTGCACCAGTGAGGGTGACTCGGATGAAGCCAAAGATGGTCCAGGGGAAAAACAGAAAAAGCAAAGGCACCTTGGACAACTCCTCTGGCAGTGTACCTGAAGAAGAAGCCCTTCTGATAGCCAGGGGAACTGTCTCCGGGGACTACAGAAAGCCAAGGGTAAAACTGCTATTCCAAGAAAAGAAGGCTCCAAACATTCTGTACTGTCCAAATCAGTTCTGGAGCACAAGATAGAAGAAAAAAGCCTGAGTTGGTTTCTTGACTGACCAGCCTCTTTCACAGACGTAGTCTGACTTTGAGTCTTGCATCAGTGGCGCTCCCTCATGCTGCACCTCACTTGTTCTGTGGTGTGTGCCTTGTCAACCTCTTCTTTTTGTTCCATTTCCCTGGTGGCATTTCTGTCACTTTTGGCTATCATATAGGTTCTGTTTTCTGTATATGTATAATTTATATATTTTTTATTTTAAATATTTTAAATAATAGCCAGTCGATCATGATTTTTTTAAACTACTATTTCATAGGCAGGACTTTGTACTTTCTCTTTCTTTGGAGTTAAGACCATAATTGTCTCCCATTTTAAATATCTTAGCAGTTAGCATTGCTAATGCTCAACTGTAAGTTAGGTGGATATACTGTCAGACTAAATTGAAGTTCTGTAGTACCTTTCATTAAGAAAGATCTGGGCTTATTCCAAGGATTATTTCATCAATCTTCCAAATTATCCTAAGTCTGGGATTGAAAATAGTAAAAGCCTGTTATTTACATTTTTAGCATAACTTTGGCAATTATCCTATACAGTTTTGTGACAAGTATTTCTTATAGGGTTGTGTTTAATTTTTTTCCGCCTGCAATTTTTTTTTTTTTGCAGAGTACGTGTCCCAGTTAAAATTACTCAAGAAATATTTTTAGCTCACACAGCTAAGATCCAAAAAGGACACTAAGTGGTCCTGGTCTCAGAAAGTTTGCAACACAGATAAAACTGGTCTTCTTACAAGCGGGTACCTACTCTCATAGAAGTCAGGGATGCTGCATATGGCTCCACAAGCCAAGTACAGCAAAAAATCCAGTGCATGCTTAGCTTCCAAATATGTGCACTGTGATTGTACAAATGTATCCATAGAAAGGTGTAGTACTCTATCTTTTAGTATGGACAAGGACACCAGGATCATATCTATATTTTTTAAAGATTTATTTATTTCTTTGAAAGGCAGAGTTACAGAGAATGATGGGGGAGAGAGAGAGAATCTTCCATCTGCTGGTTCACTCCCCTAAATGATTGGAAGGGCTAGACCTGGGCTGATCGGAAGCCAGGAGCTTCTTCCAGGTCTCCCATGTGGGTGCAGGGGCCCAAGGACTTGGCCCATCCTCAGCTGCTTTCCCAAGTGAATTAGCAGGAAGCTGAACTGGAAGTGTAGCTGTTCCATAGCATCAGCCTCGATTATATTCCTCTGATACATACTTCCTGTCTGTAAAGGATGTCACAATCCAGCTAAGTCAAAAATCTGTCTATTCTTTGAGTTCCACCACTACTACCTAAACAATTCAAAATCGTGATGAATTCTTTTGATTTTTCCCAATTTTCATATGTGATATATATACATTTTTCATAGGTCTGAGCCTGTGATGTGAGCTTTGACACCAGGATTCATGTGCAACTTATAAGTAAGTTGAGGCAATTTAGTGAAAGAAGCCCAGAAAGCAGGGCAAGAAAAGAAGGCATGTAGAATGCTGTTGTGGTCAAATCCCAGCTTTGGCCTGACTCTGGTCCTGATCTGAAGAGAAGGGAGATGGGCTTCCATACTGCCAACTACTGAGCCGTTTCCTCAAGCTTGACCTGGTCATGTACTCTCATTCTCTGTGTGTGCTGGCAAAGCAGCTTCAACAGCACAATGATGGTGTTTTAGTTGTGAGCCTTAGCAACAAAAAGACGCAGGCCAGAAGATAGGCCCATAGCAATGACTGCAGGGATGGGAGTGGATCTGAGGGGAACACAGCCCTCCGAGAGCACGTAGCTCACCACTGCCATGCGTGTTACCTGTTGCCTAGAATAATTCCATTTCTTCCTATTGAGTCTCCCTGCAAAAAAAAAAAAAAAAAAAAAAAAAAATTGCCCGTTCCAAAAACCCATGCTGTAACTGTTGCAATTATTCCGAAAAAAAAGATCTGATCTTGTCACCTCTCTGTTACTTTTCAAAAATCTCCTAATATTTTTAGCATATATTGCCATGACTTACAATGACACAGAGAAAATTGCATGCCATGGTTCCTAATTACATCTTCTCACCACTTAACCTTAATCACATTGAACTACTGGTGGTGACATAGATGGGCCATGCTCTGTTTCACACTGAGGATGATGCCTGGATGATCTCCCCAGGGCCTGCGTTACTTTTCCTTATCCTTCAGAACTTAACTCTGCCATTGAATCTATTGAGGATATTCTATCCACTCTACGATGCCTACCAAAGTCTCATTTATGTGTGCCACAGTTGTATTTGCATAATAACCTCTATAATGACATCCAGGAGGTGTTAGAATAAATATTTCATCATTCATTTGTCAGTATCCAGGAAAAGATTATGACCTGTTTGAATACTGGAGTTGTTTCACTTTTATCAGTGAATCCTTTATGTAAGAAGAATGCTTTATGCATTATAGCAATTTAATAAGTACTATATGTTGATTATTTTTTAAAATGAAAGGTTGGGAAAATGATGTGACAGCATTCATATCAGTATATTCAATATAATTCTTTTCAAGTGATAGATTTTCCACCTCTTCAAAAGTTATATAAAATTTGCTTATGATGAGGTTTTTATTTGTAGCTTCTTTGTGTTATAATATTTGCATAAATGTAAGCAATGCAAAACAACTTCTTGGGAGTAAGCATTTAGCATTGTTATTCAAATGTGTGCATCTGACATCAGAACATCTGGGTTCAATTCCTGGCTTGGCTCATGACTCCAGTTTTCTGTTAATGCAGACACAGTGAGGCAGCATTGATGGCTCCAGTAATTGGGTTCCTGACACCAATGGGGAAGACCTGGATAGCATACCTGGCTCTTGGCTCATGACCCAGTTGAGTCCCTGAGCTGCCAGGCACCTGAGGATTGATTCCACAGATGATGTCTCTCTGTCTCCCTGTCTCCTTGTCTCATTGTCTCTCTGTCTCTGTCTCTGTCTGTGTCTCTCTCCCTCTTTGATATCCTCTCTTTCTCACTCTGCCTTTCAAATATATATTTTTTTTTTTTGACAGGCAGAGTTAGACAGTGAAAGAGAGAGGCAGAGAGAAAGGTCTTCCTTCCATTGGTTCACCCCCAAAATGACCGCTATGGCTGGCGCTCTGGGCTGATCCAAAGCCAGGAGCCAGGTGCTTCCTCCTGGTCTCCCATGCAGGTGCAGGGCCCAAGGACCTGAGCCATTCTCCACTGCCTTCCCGGGCCACAGCAGAGAGCTGGACTGGAAGAAGAGCAAGCGGGACAGAATCCAGGGCCCTAACTGGGACTAGAACCCGGGGTGCCAGCGCCACAGGTGGAGGATTAGCCTAGTGAGCCATGGCACCAGCCTCAAATATCTTTTTTAAATTTAAAAATGAATGGATTTCTTGTATTTGTTAAGAATAGACACATTGGGGCCAGCTTTAGGTGCAGCAGTTTTAAGATGGCACTTGAGAAATGTTCATCCAAGGTCTGAGTAACTGTTTCAAGTTTCAATTCTGCTGCTGCTTTTTTAAAGATTTATTTATTTATTTAGAAATCGAAGTTACTGAAAGAGAGGGAGAAAAAGAAAAAATATATAGAGAGAGAGCTCTTCCAATTGCTGGTTCACTTCCCAGATACCCACAATCACCAGGGCTGGGCCAGGCCCAAGCAAGGAGCTCTAGCCACGTCCCTCACATGTTTGGAAAGAGGCCCAAACACATTGGCCATCCTCTGCTGCTTCTCCTAGGTCATTAGCAGAGAGCTGGATCAGAAGTGGAACAGCCAGGACATGAATTGGTGCCTATATGGAATGCTAGCATTGTAGGCTGCTGCTTTACCCACTATGGCACAATGCTGGCCCCCTAACCTTGCTCTTAATTGAGCTTTCTGCTAATGTCCACCATGGGAAGGCAATAGCAAGTACTCGGGTCCTTGCCACTTATGTGAGATTCCTGTATTGCGTTCTGGCTCTTGACTTCAACTGTCCCAACCCCAGCTAATGAAGGCATTTGAGGGGTGAGCAAGTGAATGGAAGATCTCTATCTCTGTTTCTCTACCTTTCCAATAAAATAAAAATAGAAAAGTAATAAATTAAAAAAAACAGGATAGATATACTAACAAAAAATCACTCAAGCACAACTCAATTGTAGGTATATAAGATAACAAAGAAAGAATTCTTAGCAACATATAAAAATATGTTAGTCTTGATGAACATCTACTGCAGGCAATCAGCTTTTTCAAGGAAAACAAATATTTAATGAGACAGTTGCACCTCAAGAAAGTGTGAACCTTCATTGAGATTGCTTTGATTGAAAGAAACATCCAAGTGATATTTTATACTCATGTGGTTAAACTCATCAACCTTTTTTAGAAACTGAGTGAAAAGTAACTGACATGAAACATCTGTGTCAATCATTTTATGTTTACCAGAGAGTCTGCAAGATCTAAAAGTTTATAAAGAACAAGAACATCTTAAAAGTCTGCTTATGCAACAAGTTGGCACTGCCTTATTAATTTTACAGATGTCTGCTTGCTTCCCTAGAGAGCAATATTTTGATGAGATATATCTTGAAGCAGTTTCTAAGCAATGTGCTTTAGATTTTAAAATTCTTGGGAATAGAGCCAAAAAAGCAAAGTCCTTGATGATATTTGTGATTTGCATGTATGAGATCAGATAATTTGCCAGATACCTCTTTCTTTAAGTAAAGGAGTGCCCATCATAAAGAACATACATACAAATTCAGAACTCTGCTTTTTCTTTTGTAAAATGTGCTTTTCATGGATGTTTCACTTGCGTGTGGTTAAATTAGCTGAGCCCACAGCTACACTTGTCAGACATTATTGTTTTAAGCAGGTGTTATGTTCACATCTAACTGGAATTCTGAAAATTATGGAAACAGGTAAGTGAAAAGTTAATAGAGAGAGAGAGAATAACAATTCAGTTCTGCCATAAAATTT